AGGTTATAACTGGAAGAGAAAAAAACTGGAATAAGAACAAGTAAAAAAGCTGTAAGTTCGGACGTGTCGAACTATGAATACCCTCCATTATTTGGCAATTAAAAAAAACCGTTAAAAATTCTGATAAAATCTTAAAAATAAATATAGCCGTTATATGGGGACTATATGAAGACGTGGACCTACATGGCTCATTTTTTGACTTAGGATGTAGTATCCATTACGAACTTCAAATGCCAAATTTGAAACAATTCCGATGAATAATGTCGCTAAAATCATCAAAATACCGAATATCGGGAGGTACCGTTATATGGGTGCTTTATGATAACTTGGACCTACATGGCCCATTTTCGAACTTAACCTGCCTACTGGCAAAATATACATGTGTGCAAAATTTTAGCCTTCTATCTCAATTTGTTCGAAAGATAGCGTGATTACAACAGACAGACAGACGGACAGACAGACACACAGACAGACAGACGTACATGGCTAAATCGTCGTAGAATTTTACGCTGATCAAGAATATATATACTTTGTTCGGTCTGACATGAGTATTTCGAGGAGTTACAAACGGAATGACAAAATTAATATACCCTCCATAGTATGGTGGAGGGTATAAAAACTGGAATAAGGACAAGTAAAAGTGATGAAAGTTCGGACGGGCCGAACTTTGAATATCCTCCACCATTTGGAAGAAATTGGCAATTTTCAAAAAAATAAAATCCGTTAAAAATTCTGTTAAAATCTTAAAAATAACGAATATAGCCGTTATATTCGGGTCTATACGAAGTCGTGGGCCTGTATAGGCAACTTTTGTCATAAGCCATTGCAATATTCAAATGCGAAACTTGAAAAAAACTTCGGCGAATAATGTAGCTCAAAATCCGAATAGAGGGAGGTATACCAAAACCTGGGGGCTATACCAAAACCTGGGGCTATACCGAAACCTGGGGGGCTCTACCAAAACGTGGACATGCACAGGCAATTTTCTGTCGTAAGCTGTAGTATCCATTACGAACTTCAAATATCAAATTTGAAACAATTCCGTTGAATAATGCCGCTAATATCATCAAAATACCGAACATAGGGGTGTACCGCTGTATGGGTGCTATACTAAGACGTAGACCTGCATATACAATTTTCCATCACAGGTTGTAGTACCCATTACGAACTTCAAATATAAAATTTTACGCAAAAAATTTACGCGCAATGAATAATGTCGCGAGAATTTTGGAAATATCGAATATGTCGGGGTAGAGTAATATGGGTGCTATACTAAAACGTAGACCTATATAGATATCTTCCAGGGTGTAAAGTACTCAGAGGGAACTCTTTGTGTGGATTTTCAGACTATTCCATTGAAAAATGGGGCTGAAAATATAAAAATTCCGAAAATCGGGGGGTACCATTGTATGAGGGCTATACGATATCGTGGACCTATATAGACAATTCTTCTTCAGGGCGTAAAGTAGTCACGAAGAACTCATTGTGTAGAATTTCAGACCATTCCATTGAAAACTATGGTTAAATCATCAAAATACCGAATATCGAGAGGTACAGTAATATGGGGGCTATTCGATATCGTAGACCTATATGGATAATTCTCTTTCAGGGGTTAAAGTACTCACACAGATCTCCTTGTGTAGAATTTCAGACAATTCCATTGAAAAATATGGTTAAAATCATCAAAATACCGAATATCGAGGGGTACCGTTATATGGGGGATATTTGATATCGTGGAACTATATAGACAATTCTTTTTCAGAGGGTAAAGTAGACATGAAGAACTCCTTGTGTAGAATTTCCGTCAATTCCATTGAAAAATGTGGTTAAAATCATCAAAATACCGAATATTGGGGGGTACCGTAATATAGGGGCTATACGATGTCGTGGACCTATATAGATAATTCTCTCCCAGGAGATAAAGTACTTACAAGGGACTCCTTTTGTGGCTTCTCGGACAATTCCATTGAAAAATGTGGTTACAAATTATCAAAAGACCGAATATCGGATAACCATCGGTTATATGAGATATATACGATATCGTGGACCTATGTAGACAATTCTCTTTCAGGGGGTAAAGAAGTCTCGAGGAACTCCTTGTGTTTTCAATTCCATTGAAAAATGTGGCTGAAATCATCAAAATACGGAATATCGTAATATGGGGGCTATTCGATGTCGTGGGCCGATATAGCCCATCTTTGAACTTGACCTGCCTGCAGACAAAAGACAGATCAGTGCGGACGGACAGGCGACTTAGAATTTTACGCTGACCAAGAATGAGTTCAATAAGTTCAAGTTACAAACGGAACAACGAACTTAATATACTCTCCATACTATGTATGGTGGAGGGTATAAAAATACGATGGCTGTTGTTTTGCATTGCTCGTATTGGTGTTCGGGCCCAGATCTGAACAATTTGGCGGTTTGATGTCCGGGAGACTCTTTTACCAAACACTTCGGTTTGTGGACTGAAAGCTGCAATCGCAGATGGCTTTTGGCAACTCACTGGACTCGACCAAGGTCCTGTTGTCGCTTTCCTCGCTCGTCGCTTTTCTGAAATTGCTCCTTTCCCCGGTGGCTTGTTACACTTCACCGGGCCAGCTTACTTTTGGACACAGTTGCTCTGTGGCTTCGTATATCCCACTGCGGGACAACTTTAGTTTTGTAAAAACTCTTCGATATTTTTGAATATTTTCCCAGACATAGGTATTTTTACCCCAATTCCTGGAAACTTTTTTTTTTCTTGGGGGACGGACACGGGAACTGAAAGTACGAGTTCAAGACCCGGGCTACCCTCAGAGCCACTTACCCGTTATAGACAGCTTATAAAAATACCTATCCAACAAGTGGTCACATGACTTTATTTAAAGCGGTGCGGAAGTTGTAGACATTATTTAAAATTTTTTGATCCGGATTTTTTATAAAACACACAAAAAGTCGAAAAAGGTTCCATTATGGGGTTCAACAAAATTGATGGCAAATTATAGCTGACACTCTTATCTTTCCATAATGGTACAATTTTTGCTAATACCTTTTTCAGGTCCAGAGATATATTGGGTAAGTGAATCTGGGTCTAGCCCGGGACTTGAACCCGGACTTTTGGCTCAAAAATCTGGGGACCCGGATCCGTCCCCCAAGAAGAGAAATAATTTTCCAGAACCAGGGTAAATAGACCTATCACTGGAAAAAAAAATTCAAAACCAGTAAAGAAAGTCCTAAAGTCGGGCGGGGCCGATTTTATGATACCCTACACCACTTTGCTAATTTAGTTGAGCTCCACATAACAATTAAAACTTTTTATGGGAGAATTCAATCATACACGCTATGATTATAATTATAATTTAAAGTTCAAAGGACTAAATATGCCGAAGCATTTGTATCTTTTAAATTCGGACTTGTATTGCCCATGTGGTGTAAAATTAATTTGAAATCAGATAAAGATATATATGGGAGCTATATTCAAATCTGAACCGATCTCGATAAAATTTGGCAAAGATATTTCTGAGCTGTATTTGATATATCGTTGTTACGGAGTGCATATTACGGCTGTGGGTAACAAATACAACAAATCGGATGAACACTACATATGGGAGCTATAGCTATATCTGAACCGATCTTCACCAAATTTGGCATACTACCTTCTAGACTCAATTCGGTCGTAAATGCCAAATTCCATCCCATTTGGGCAAATATTACACTGGTTTGGTGCACAATAAAAAGTAAATCGGACGAAGTTATATATGGGAGCTATATCCAAATCTGAACCGATCTCGATAAAATTTAGCAAAGGTATTTCTGAGCTGCATTTGATATATTTCCCCAAATATTGTTGTTACAGAGTGTATATTACAGCTGCGGAGGACAAAAATAACAAATCGGATGAACAATATATATGGGAGCTATAGCTATATCTGAACCGATTTCGATCAAATTTAGCATACTTATTTTCAGGCCTAATTTGGTTGTATATGCAAAATTCCATACTATTCGGGCTGATATTACACGTTTGGTGCACAATAAAAGGCAAATCGGACGAAGATATATATGGGAGCTATATCTAAATTTTGACCGATTATCTTCAATGTCAATAGTGTACGTCCTTGGGATAAACAAATTATCTGTGCAAAATTTCATCTAGATCGGGCAATAAATGCGACCTGTACTTTGTTTACAAAAATACATGGACAGACGGACGGACGGACATGCATAAATCGACTCAGAATGTGATTCTATGCAGATCATCGAAAGGAATTATGGGTCTATCTCCTTTCGTTTTGCTGTTACAAACAAATGCACAAAGACCACCTTGGTGTAGGGTATAAAAATTGAATAGTTTGTACTAGAGTTAAGACCTCACTGCTTCGGATCCTTTCTCATTCTTCGATTTTTCCTCTTCTGGCCCTTGTGGTTGTTAAGAGTTCTTGTTCTCTCTATTTACCCTGGTATTTCAAATTCACCACAAAGGTTTTCTCGAAAATCCGTCGCTGTATTTTATTCAGGTTCCTACTGACTTTAAATGTTTTAAATTAGATGAAGTATGAAAATGGAATACTTCGATTCGCTATGTCTGTTACCTCATGCATATTATCACAGTTTCCAAAAATTGGCACATATCTCATATAAAGTATAGGAAGTAGTCGATATAGTCCAAATCTGGAACGTTTTAATATTTATATCAGTCTTAGGTCACATACGAATTGGGTAATATGGGCCAACTGCTTCGGAACCTCTCATATAAACAGTCAACAGTTTGAATAATCAATACTCAAGGCTGCGGGGTGTACATCTGTCGGCAAAACCGACAGATACTATTTTACTTTTTGTATTTCTGATTCGGTCATTTAGTTCCCGCACGTCATGGATATTTATAATCCAGAATCCTTTGTTTTTAATTTAAATTTAATTGAAGTTATTTAAACAAATAGACACAAATATTGAAATGCTTCGTGACTTTGTCACAACAAAACTTATGATGACTACCCTGCAACTACTTTACTTACCACACTCTCTTGATTTTTTTTTGCAAATTGCGGATATCCGTTTCGTGGCTGGTTGTTCCACTTAAAAATATATCCAAAATGTATTCATTTGATGTTGGCCGATTGATGAGGGTTGCCGTCGGTTAGAATGTAATGTAAAAAAAAAACTTTTCTTTCGTTTTCTTTTTTTGTTGATTTCGTTTTCCGTTTTTTTTTTCTTTTCTTTTTCAAAATTCACAGAATAGCTATAAAATTGAATTTTTTGTTATTCAATAATATTTCATTGAACGAAAATTGGTTTACGTTTAGAATCGAAACGCTTATAATTAGTGGCAATTATCACTTTTTTAACACTTCGAGTAGAAGAATTAGCACATTGGACAGAGCACAGAGAGAACTTTTTTTTTTTTTGGATGTGAAGTGGATTTGTTCAGCCAGCAATGATTATATATTGAACACGTTGTGATCGTCGAAATCGTTTTTGTGTTGGTTTATGATATATCTATATGATATCTAAAATTGATTAGTGATGAGTGAGGGACTGACTCACTAATTGATATATAAGCTACTAGACAGAATGGCTGGAGCTAGGATATGGAAACTTTGTATGAGGGCCGCGATTAGTGTGTAAAAATGTCATGGATGGGCTGGATGTTTTAAATTTGATGAAAAGGGTACGAAAAGCCCTAATAGAGACTTAAACCCTCCATTGACAATTATTGAAAGTCCAGCGCAACTCCCACGAAGTCAAATTAGAGGGTAATGTGACGGCTACATTTAATTTCTATCCTCTCATTTAATCCAACGTAAAGTCACTACAACCACACCTTCCTGGTGTCAACAATGAGGTTAATAATTTTCAATGACGGTTAAGATGTTACGCTTTTCACACCGAAGTTCAAAGCCAAAATAAACAAAAAAAAAAAAAACAAGTAAAAAAGCTGTAAGTTCGCCGGGTCGAACTTTGAATACTTAAAATTTCTATTAAAATCTAAAAATACCGAATGTAGCCGTTTTAATAGAGTCTGTACGAAGACCTGGACCTGTACAGACAGTTTTCTGTCATAGGCTGTAGTATCCATTACGAACTTGAAATACCAAATTTGAAACAATTGCGCTGAATAATATCGCTAAAATAATCAAAATACCGAATATCGGGAGGTACTGATATATGGGGCCTATACGAAGACGAGTGTCTGCATACGCAATTTTCTGTCATGGACTGTAGTTCTCACTACGAACTCTAAATACGAAATTTGAAACAACTCCGTTAAAAAATATCTCCAAAATCATCAAAATATCGAATATCGGAAGTTGCCGTTATATGGGGGTTACACGAAGACGTGGACCTGAACAGACAATTTTCTGTCTAAGGCTGAAGTATCCATTACGAACTTCAAATACCAAATTTGAAACAAATCCGGTGAATAATGTCGCCAAAATCAGCAATATACCCAATATCGGGAGCTACCGTTATATGGGGGCTATGCGAAGACGTGGACCTGCATAGACAATTTTCTTCCATAGGTTGTAGTACCCATTAGGAACTATTATTACGGAATTTCAAACAATTCCGTTGAAAAATGTCGCTAAACTCGTAAAAATACCGAATATCGGGAGGTACTGATATTTGGGGCCTATAGGAAGACGTAGGCCTGCATACGCAATTTTTTGTTATAGACTTTAGTATCCATTACGAACTTCAAATACCAAATTTGAAACAATTCCGGTGAATAATGTCGCCAAAATTAGTAAAGTACCGAATATCTGGAGGTATGGTGGCTACACGAAGACCTGCATAGATAATTTTCTGTCATAGACTGTAGTTCCCATTACGAACTCTAAATACGAAATTTGAAACATCTCCTGTCAATAATGTCGCTAAAATTTTCAAAATACCGAATATCAGAAGTTGCCGTTTTATGGGGGCTATACGAAGACGTGGACCTGAACAGACAATTTTCTGTCTAAGGCTGAAGTATCCATTACGAACTTCAAATACCAAATTTGAAACAAATCCGGTGAATAATGTCGCCAAAATCAGCAATATACCCAATATCGGGAGCTACCGTTATATGGGGGCTATGCGAAGACGTGGACCTGCATAGACAATTTTCTTCCATAGGTTGTAGTACCCATTAGGAACTATTATTACGGAATTTCAAACAATTCCGTTGAAAAATGTCGCTAAACTCGTAAAAATACCGAATATCGGGAGGTACTGATATTTGGGGCCTATAGGAAGACGTAGGCCTGCATACGCAATTTTTTGTTATAGACTTTAGTATCCATTACGAACTTCAAATACCAAATTTGAAACAATTCCGGTGAATAATGTCGCCAAAATTAGTAAAGTACCGAATATCTGGAGGTATGGTGGCTACACGAAGACCTGCATAGATAATTTTCTGTCATAGACTGTAGTTCCCATTACGAACTCTAAATACGAAATTTGAAACATCTCCTGTCAATAATGTCGCTAAAATTTTCAAAATACCGAATATCAGAAGTTGCCGTTTTATGGGGGCTATACGAAGACGTGGACCTGAACAGACAATTTTCTGTCTAAGGCTGAAGTATCCATTACGAACTTCAAATACCAAATTTGAAACAAATCCGGTGAATAATGTCGCCAAAATCAGCAATATACCCAATATCGGGAGCTACCGTTATATGGGGGCTATGCGAAGACGTGGACCTGCATAGACAATTTTCTTCCATAGGTTGTAGTACCCATTAGGAACTATTATTACGGAATTTCAAACAATTCCGTTGAAAAATGTCGCTAAACTCGTAAAAATACCGAATATCGGGAGGTACTGATATTTGGGGCCTATAGGAAGACGTAGGCCTGCATACGCAATTTTTTGTTATAGACTTTAGTATCCATTACGAACTTCAAATACCAAATTTGAAACAATTCCGGTGAATAATGTCGCCAAAATTAGTAAAGTACCGAATATCTGGAGGTATGGTGGCTACACGAAGACCTGCATAGATAATTTTCTGTCATAGACTGTAGTTCCCATTACGAACTCTAAATACGAAATTTGAAACATCTCCTGTCAATAATGTCGCTAAAATTTTCAAAATACCGAATATCAGAAGTTGCCGTTTTATGGGGGCTATACGAAGACGTGGACCTGAACAGACAATTTTCTGTCTAAGGCTGAAGTATCCATTACGAACTTCAAATACCAAATTTGAAACAAATCCGGTGAATAATGTCGCCAAAATCAGCAATATACCCAATATCGGGAGCTACCGTTATATGGGGGCTATGCGAAGACGTGGACCTGCATAGACAATTTTCTTCCATAGGTTGTAGTACCCATTAGGAACTATTATTACGGAATTTCAAACAATTCCGTTGAAAAATGTCGCTAAACTCGTAAAAATACCGAATATCGGGAGGTACTGATATTTGGGGCCTATAGGAAGACGTAGGCCTGCATACGCAATTTTTTGTTATAGACTTTAGTATCCATTACGAACTTCAAATACCAAATTTGAAACAATTCCGGTGAATAATGTCGCCAAAATTAGTAAAGTACCGAATATCTGGAGGTATGGTGGCTACACGAAGACCTGCATAGATAATTTTCTGTCATAGACTGTAGTTCCCATTACGAACTCTAAATACGAAATTTGAAACATCTCCTGTCAATAATGTCGCTAAAATTTTCAAAATACCGAATATCAGAAGTTGCCGTTTTATGGGGGCTATACGAAGACGTGGACCTGAACAGACAATTTTCTGTCTAAGGCTGAAGTATACATTACGAATTTTAAATACCAAATTTGGAACAAATCCGGTGAATAATTTCGCTAAAATTATAATAATATCGAATATCGGGAGGTACTGATATATGGGGCCTATACGGAGACCTGGACCTGCATAGACAATTTTCTATCATAGACTGTAGTGTCCATTACGAACTTCAACTACCAAAATTGAAACAATTCCGGTAAATAATGTCGCTTAAATTATCAAAGTACCGAATATCGGGAGGTACCGTTATATGGGGGGCTATACGAAAACGTGGACCTGCATAGATAATTTTTTGTCATAGGCTGTAGTACCCATTACGAATACCAAATTTGAAACAATTCCTGTGAATAATGTCGCTAAAATCTTCAAAATACCGAATATCGGAAGTTGCCGTTTTATGGGGGCTATACGAAGACGTGGACCTGAACAGACAATTTTCTGTCTAAGGCTGTAGTATCCATTACGAACTTCAAATTCCAAATTTGAAACAGTTCCGGTGAATAATGTCGCTTAAATCATCAAAATACCGAATATAGGGAGGTGCTGTTATATGGGGGTTATACGAAGATGGGGACCTGCACAGACATTTTTCTGTCTTAGACTGTATTAGGAAATTCAAATACGAAATATGAAACAATTGCGGTGAATAATGTCGCTAAAATCAACAAAATACCGAATATCGGAAGGTGCCGTTATATGGGGGTTATACGAAGATGGGGACCTACACAGACAATTTTCTGTCTTAGGCTGTAGTATCGATTACGAACTTCAGATACCAAATTTGAAACAATTCTGGTGAATAATAATAAGTGTTAAAATCATCAAAATATCTAATATCAGGAGGTGCCGTTATATGTGGGCTACACGAAGACGTGAACCTGAACAGACAAATTTCTCTCACAGGCTGTAGTATCCATTACGAACTTGAAATACCAAATTTGAAACAATTCCGTTGAAAAATTTCGCTAAAATCATCAAAATACCGAATATCGGGAGGTACTGATATATGGGGCCTATAGGAAGACGTGGACCTGCATACGCAATTTTTCTTCATAGACTGTAGTACCCTTTACGAATTCTAAATACGAAATTTGAAACAACTCCGGTGAATAATGTCGCTAAAATCGTCAAAATGTCGAATATCGGGGAGTACCGTTGTATGTGGACAATACGATATCGTGGACCTATATAGATATTTATCTTCCAGGGGATAAAGTGCTTAGAAAGAACTTCTAGTACGGATTCGTAAACAAGTCCATTGAAAAATGTAGCTAAAATCATGAAAATACCGAATATAGAGAGGTACCGTTATATGGAGGATATATGGTATCGTGGACCTATAAAAACAATTCTCTTCCAGGGGGTAAAGTTCTCAGAAAGAACTCCTCCGAATAGCGGGGGTATTGTTATATGGGCGCTATACGATACCTTGGACCGATATCTTCTAACTTGGCCTGCTTGCAGACAAAAGAC